CATAGTGCTGACATCCCAACCTGACTCGAGTGAGATCGGTTCCCAGGCCTCCCAGCATCCGCGTTCCGTCGCGGTCATAGACAACATGCAGGACCAGGTGAACAGCTCCAAGATCCTCCAGCGTGAGCGTGGGGTCGCCTTGGGTGTCCTGGTCATCGTAGCCGAGCGGCTGGTGACTTCCAATGCCGCGGTATCAGCAATCTGCTGGGCAGCGTTCAGCAAACGGCGACGCTGGCCTTTGGTCAAGATCTCACCTCCTTCTTCTGTGATGCCTGCCGTCAAGGCATCCTCATAGTCACCAGAGTCATCGGGGCCACCATCTGCATCCTCAGATTCAGAATCGGAAGTGTCCACCTCCGTATTCGGGCCATCCTCGTGCGAAGACTCTGATTGCCCGGATGAGAAGGAGCCGTGGCTATCCGAGCCAGAATCATGCTCCTTGGGCTCCATGGTCCTGAGCGGGACCTTGTGCAGGACTTGGTCCAAGCCTGAAATGGCTTCATCTTCCATATGGCTCTGCCACAATGCCAAGTCCTCCGTCTCGGATTCTGGCTCTGCCAGGGAGTAGAAAGAGTCATCCGACTCCTCTGATGAGCTCTGCTCATCCTGCGTGGTAGGCGACATTTCATCCTGGCTCTGCCAGAGTGCCAAGCTGTGTGGATCATCTCGAAGTAGCTTCCGCAACTTGTTGAGCTCAGGCGTGTCCCAATCCTTGGCGCTGCCATTTCCCAGCACATCGAGCACCGGGTGTCTCGTCGGTGACAGCTCAGTTGGGATCTGACGTCCATCGATGGTTGTGGTGCCAGTACCAAAGTCCATGGTCATCTTCCACCTTGCGAGCTCTGAGGGCCCCACCAGTGCAGGGCAGTGGGAGATGCGAGGATCGTCTTTCGTATCCTCCACCACAGCTACTCGCAGCCATGTGCGAACGCCGCTCTTGCCAAGGACAACGGGGTAGAGACCTGCCGAGGTTGAGAGCACTGGTGCACCGGCGCCGAACCTGAACGTTTCCTCATGGTCCAACACCTCATAGGGAAGGTGCTTCTTCTCCAGCGCTTTGCGCATCTTCTGATGCCATCGTGCTCCTGCCACAGCCGTCCTGCATCCACTGTCAAGGATGACTTTGTTGGCGGCATGCTCCAGCATCCAGACTTCCATGGGGTCGTCCAGCTCGTTGTCAGCTGTGAGTGCCCCATGATCCATGCTGTAGTAGAGCACTTTCTTCAGAAGGCACTCGCGGCACGAGGCCCAGTGGGCTGCTCCATTCGCGCCCCATCGCAGCTTCTCCCATGGATGCTTGCAGCGATCTTGCTCTGGCATTGGCAGTTCCGAAGCCTCTGAAGGTTTCACACGGCCCTTGCGATCCAAAGCGCCCTCATAGAGAGCTCGCCTGAACTCCTTGAGGCGTTTCTTCCTTACCGGCTCCGGCAAAGTGCTCACTGCTGCTGGTTCTGGGGCCGGAGTCGTAGATGAGCTTGCCGCCGTGCAGCCTTCTTTCTTCTTGTCAGGACGCGCCACCTTCTCAGGCGTCCCTTTCTTGAACAACTGCCGAGATGCTTCTTCGTCCCGTTCCTCTTTGAGCTTCTTGTAGAGCTTCTTCTTCTCCTCACGGGACATGTAGGGCAAGATCTCGAGCATATCCGCTGCAGGGAGATCGGTCTCCATGGGCCGAGCTTTGCTCTTGGCTTTGAGCTCCCTTTCATGCTCCTTCACCTTTTCTCTCTTCTTCTGTAGCTTCTTCTTGAGTCGGTGATCTCCTTCATCCAAATCACCGTCCAGCGCATCCAACACGGTGCTCAAGGCTGCCTTGTACTTGGAGATCTTCTTCTTGGCCTCTTCTGGCGTCTTTCCAGCACCGAAGGTCACTGGCTCTTCCTCTGAACTGCTGTCGCTTGATGACACCGAAGAGTTGGAGTCCGAACTGTAGGCCTTGATGCGCTCCCAGCCTTCCATGAAGGTCCAATTCACCTTGTGAACTTGCAAGCCCTTGGTGCTCGTGGTATGCGAGCCTTGCTGTTCTTCCTTGACCTGAGTGCTTCCTCGGGCTTGTGGGGAAGAGTCCGTGGTGAAGTGAACTCCTGCTGAACTCTTGGGAGTCTCCTCTCTTGGTGGATCGGTGCCATTCTTCACATTTGGGCACTCGGGGTCACCGTGCCAGTGACCAAGCTGCTTACAGGAGGCGCACCTTGACTTTGCCTTCCTCTGGTCCTTGGTGCGGTACTCCGTGAAGCGTCCACCTTTCCTCCCTTTTCCTTTTGACTTGCCATCACTGTAGCCACGGGCCTTTTTGGCCTCTGCTGACTTTTGCTTCGCCCTCCAGCCTGCTGCATAGGCTTCTCGAAGCTCGTGATCATCTTCCCACTCTCCTTCTTCATCCCAGTAGCCCCAGTCATAGCCCTGGGAGTAGCCCTGGTAGTAGGCCTCTTGCTCCAAGTCTTCCTCATCGGCCTCATCCCAGTCGTTGTCTTCATACATGGCGTCTTCGCCGTCTTCATCCTCTTCAGCTGGGATCTCATCGTCGTCAGGGTCCCAGTCTGGCTCCTCTTTGACTTCTGCCAGATGGGCTCGAGATGACCTGTGCGAGTGGTACCTTGATGATCTTGAGGTCGAGGCATGCTTCCACTTGCGAGGCTGTCGATCGTGTGCCTTGTACTTGCCCTCTTCCATATGGATGTTGGCACACCGAAACCTGAGCACTTTCTCAATGGCCGTGCTGCTGTATTTGCCGCCTGCGCTGTAGAAGATGTCCATGCGCTCCTTCTTCGTCAACGAAGCCCTGCTCAGCATACGCTGTGCGAATGACTTGTCTGAGAGCGTGGTGCCTGTGTCTTCGGCCAGGTATTCAGATCTCAACTTTTTGAGAGTGCTGATGTAGGAGGCGATTGCTTGTCCAGGGGTTCGACGATATGTCAAATAAGCCTCTTGCTTTTCTTCGAATCGTTCATCAGACCTTGCCCCATACGACTCCTCCAGCAATCTAAGCACTCTGTTGAGTCCACCAGGCTCTCTCATCTCCTCGATTTGGAGTTGGTTCAAGATTTGCCGTGGCTCACCCTGGCAACTGAGGTAGATGAGCATGGAGAGTTCAGCATCGTCCAACCTGTATAGTGCTCTCTGAGCCTCAATCGTTCGCTTCCACTCTTTGTAGTGGGTTCTTGAACCTTTGAACATCTCGAGGCGAACTTGGCTCAGGGACGGTTTGGAACGATCCTGCTGCTTGCGGGCCTGCTGAGAAAGCATGGCGCGTAGCTCACTTGTGCCTGCCGTGGAGGCCGCCGAACTCGTGCGATTCGAGCTGGCCGGAGATGAAGTCCTGTTGGACGAGGCTCTGCCTGAGGGAGGATCCGAAGGTGGCGGATCGGGCGGACGCTGCCGCGGATTTCGGGGATTCCGCCTGGGCTGACGCGGCGGTTCCACTGGTGGATCCACTTCGAAGTTCTCCTCCTCCTCGCTTTCTTCGTCCTCCTCATAGGTGTAGTCCGAGTACTCTTCATACTCATCTTCATCTTCATCTGGAGGATTGGGACCGGGAGGAGCTGGCTTGGACTTCTTTGCAGCTGGCTTCGAAGGTTCATCCTTGGCGACGCCACTAGGTCGCGCCTCTTCATCCTCATCCTTCTTTTCCTTCTTGTCTTTCTTCTCCCTCTTGTCGTCCCGAGCTGGCGAGCTCTTTGTCCTTGCCTCCTTCTTCTCCTTTGCCTCTTTCTTCACCTTTTCTGCTGACCGGCTCGTCTCCTTCTTCTCTTTCTTATCCTTCTTGCGGTCAGCTGACTTGTCACCTTTGGCTTCCTTCTTCTCCTTGGACTTCTCTGGACGCTCCTTCCTTGTCTTGTCCTTCTTCTCTTTCTTAGGGTGTTCCAAGGTCGAAGCCGGAGGTGACGCCTGAGGTGATGAGGGCATAGCTGGCGGTGTCAGCTCATGGCCTTGTCGAGGCAGATACCATGAGCCATCCATGGATGCCGTTGGTTCGTAGGAAAGCCATTGGGCACCCATCCAAAACATCCAATGGCCAGTGGATGGAGACCTGTACCAACCGGGGAACTGTTGTGACCATCCAGCTCGGAAGGTGTTCGTCGGGCCATCTGTATCCCCTTGGCCAGGGATCGCATCCGTGGCATAGGTCGTATGACCTTTCCCAACATTCATTCCTTTCTTGCCACCGCCTTTGGAGCCTTTGCTCTTCCCTTTGTCGTGTGGTGCTCGAGCTCGTGGGTTGTCACGTCCACGGCCTTGTCCTCGACCACGATGCCGAGAACGACCTCGGTCTTGCTCTTCCGTGGCCCGGCCACGCTCCCTGGCTCGGCCAGGGGTGGAGGCGCTGCCTCTCACTTCCGCCTCCGGCGGTGGGGTGGCTCCGCCACCGGGGGACTCCGCCCCCTCCCATGTAGGAACCGGGATGGCCTCCGGCGCCGTGTCGGCCATCCGATCCTAAGGCCCAGGTGTCAGGGCCGCCCTCTCTTTCGAGGGCTCCGCTACCAATACGGAGTGGTATGGGCTCAAAACAAACGGCGCTGCCAGCGAAAGCTCTGCTTTTGCGATCGCGGCTTGATCAAGCTTCGGTATGCACCGACATGCGTCACAACACACCACCCTGTACCAGCAACCGTCACTTTCCACACATTCATCCAACATTGTCTGATTCCAAAATCATGGGCCATCCAGCAGTCAATCCAACGAGCGACTTGAGATCAACGCTGCCAAGTCAAAAGGGAAAACGCACAATCTCAGCCGCCACAATCTCAGCGGCCAAACAAGGCATGCCACGTCTCGTTGTAACAAAAGTCATGTCTCGGAGACGTCCGTTAGTTGCTTAAAACATCTTAAAACTCATCGCCGATCGCATCTAAACGACACAGTGAAGGATGCTGCTGTGAAGGATGCTGCAAAAACCCTGTTTGCCCGTCCAGAGTCCAGCAACTCCCAAAACTCCAGCTGTCACTCTTCAAAGAAGGACAGGGCCGCTACAAAGCTCGCCGCCACGCTCTTCCCCCCCCGCATGCCTCCAGCGCCAGAGGTGCCTTCTGCGGCGACAAGGCGGCGAAGAGCCGCCCCGGCGCGACGCCTTGGCGCCGCAGAGCTGCTGTGAGACGCGCCAGCAACGCGCGCGCCTCGGCACGGCGGGACAGCGCGGTGGACCCGCGGGAGGTGGGGAAAAGGTGTTCTACCCTAAGAACGACCTATGTACCCTCCGCAAGGGTCCTTGCTATATTTGGGGTAGAAATGAAGATGAAGGTAAACAAACAGAGGTTCTCCAGTGTTTTCAGCTTGAGTGCAGTGTTGCCTATGAGTTCTGCCGTGCCTCCAAGTCCACCGCGGCATCCTGGCAGCATACCTGAACCCATGTTGCTCGTATGATTTGCCAAACAACTATTCAGATGGCTCGTGTTTTTGCCTTAAGAGCACTCAAGACATACATTGCAAGCACATGAAAACCTTTGGTCTGACAAATTCATCTGCACGCGACTGTGGGGTACTCAGTGGGGTCTCGCTGCCTCGTGTCCAGGAGCGAGTGTGTGGCGTGTGGGCTGGGTCAACATTCTTTCTTCGGTTCACAAAACAACAAACCCGCAGTGGAATTGCGTACACAACTTGAACTACACAACTTTGGTTCCACATGTCCAAACTTAAAAATTGTTGATGTTTCAGAGTTTCCCTGTTTCCTTTCCCGCTGCTTGACATTCTGCTTCTTCTCCTCTCCTGAACAAGCTCTTTCTCCAATTCTTGCTCCAACAGATCGGCTTCCAGTTGTAGCGCTTGGTATTTCCGCTTCAACGCTTGCACCTGGCCAAACGCCAACGCTGAAGCTGAAGCTGCGTCCGTGAGTTTCTCTGAGGTCAGGTCGGAGCTACAATCAGTCCCACCTAAAAAACCCGAGGACACTGCTAACCACACCAGTCTTGTCCAGTTTTAAGATGCTCCGGTCCAGTCCTCCTCATCCAGCAAGTCCTGCATCCGTCCCAGCAAGTCTTGAGCCATGCCGATCGCTGTCGGAGGCTCCTCCACCTCGGCGACATCGGTGGCTCGCCAAGCCGAGCTGTGCCAGCACAACCAGCTGTCCAGCTGTCCCTCGATCGACCCAGAGTTTCTCCCAAGAACGTCGCAAAGACATTCTGCCCGAAGCAAAAAATGAAAGTGGAATGAACCACGTCTCTGCATGCCTGGTCGTCTTGCGGATCACGATCCGGAGACCGTATCATTCCCGCGCATGAGGATCACACACATGCGACAAGAGTGGAAATCCCCACATGGCCCAAGCATCCCAGATGGTGTCCATCCAACTCCCAGAAGGCAGCGTTCCGGGCATTCCGGATGTGCTTCTCGGGGTTCGTACACCCAAACGTGTTTGAACCACTGTCAAATGGATGTATGCGCGTAAGTACAGCTAGTAGTGATGCACATGTCAACAATCTACCTACAATCCATGAAGCTTCATCATTCAGGGATTGACACTTACAAAAACTCGTGTGTTCAGTGGATAGAAGCTGATCCGCAGCGTGTCTTCCATGACCTCTATCATCTGGTCAAGAAGTCCGTGCTGTTTGGACCTCGACCTCATGAAGGCTGGAACTACTTGCGCTTCAGCTGGACGAGCTGGAGCAGTAGGAATACGAGCAGTACCGAGTAGGAGACGAGCAGGAAGGAGAACCTCACCTGTCACCAAATCCGAAACCTCACCTGGCATTTGAAATCAAAAACACGGGGAAATCCGAGGACAACCCCCCCGTGTTTGGGGCCCCGACCACGGCCACCTGGCTCGGCGTCCGGCAGAGCGGACAGGTCCTTTGCCTGGCGCGTCGGGCGAAAATGCGCTCAAACCGCGGTCGACCGGTAGACCCGGTGCTTGACGAGCTGCTTCGTGTTTCTAACCGGTCCAAGAAAAAAGGAAAGAAACACAGTGACACCAGACACGAGTATGGATCGGTATGGAACGTTGGTGTCAGTTCCCCATAAGAAGATTTATGTGTTCCATCCAAAAAGGCAATGCCCTGTTTTCCACTCAAAAAGGCTCCAGTGGATGTTCGTCCGACTGCCTCCTGCCTCACGCCTTGACGCAGCGAGTCGCTGCTGGGATGAACCCATACGGCTCTTTTCTGAAGCGTGAAACAATTGGGGCTGCTTAAGGAACCTGAAAAAAACACATAATATATATTCCTCAGAAAGGGGACGGAAAATAGAAAATTGCCTTAAGCAAAACCATGCAAAACGGAGTGCTTTTTTTCTGAGACCCAACGAGTCGCAGTTCGAACAACGCGTCGTGGTTCGCTCATCGAGCCTCGTCAGCCACTGATGGATACAGCTTTCATGCCACTGCGCGTGGCTGCATGGCAAGATGTGCGCAGCAGAATCGGGGCTGCAAATCTCCCGGCTGCAAATCAGGCAGGTCCTTTCGCCATCCATCAGCGCAGCGCGTCTACAGAAGAAGTGAGTTCTAGTTTCTAAGCGTCAGCCAAAGAAAACTAACGGTTCGGTCGAACAGCGGTCGTACAACTTCACCGGGTTCACTACTCCGGTCTGAGGGAACTGAGGGTGATTCATGGGGCCTTCATTTGCCATATGGTATTCATATGCATGTTTGGTCCATCTGGCCGCAGGTCTTGATTTTTCTTGGCTTGTTGACCTTAAAAGGTTCTCTTCTCCGCCCAGGCGGTGCCGGCGACGAAAGCCTTGCAGTACCGGTCACCGGTCACCGGCCACTCGTTGGATCGCAGGCGGGGGCGAAGTCTTCGTGTTGATGGGCTGTAGATCGGATGCGATGCGCGTTTCAGAGGTGCCCTGCGATCATTGGCTGAGCTTTTGGCTCTTGAGCCTCTGTACGGTGGGAAGCTCTGCGCGACCACTGCAGGTGGCATCACAGGGTGTGGCACGGGCCTCGCGTAGACGGCGCGTGGACGAGATGGTGTGGTGTTCTGGGGGGCTGGGAGACATCGCCAGTGTTTTTGTGAGGACCAAGAGTTCCGATCGGTAACACTTATGTACACAAAAAGGTATACAGTACTTGCAAATATGCCCTGTCGAGGAAGATCTGATCCAACGGTGGCCTATCCAACGAGCCTGTAGAGTTCATTCCAAGTCCCGCAAACATGTCCAAAGAAAAGAGCCAGCCATGAAAAAAGACTTATAATTCATTCTAAAAAGAAGAAAATGATCCAACACGGTCTGGTCCAAAGTGGTCTCTGTGAACCGACCAAGCAACCTGCCGTTTCACATGATTTGGGTCGTAAATCATCACAAATAGAGAAGTAATATGAACTAAGTGTATAATCATCCTTGCTAACTCTGTCAGGAACTTTTCCAAACGTCACTCATGCCCAAGGACCCTCCGAGCTTCGGCCTTTTGAATCACACCCAGCCCTTACCCCGACCCCGTCCACTTTTCGCTGCTTTTTTACGCCACTGAAGCTGAAGTAGCTCGTGAGGCGTGCGGTGACGCCCGGCCTGACACGTCGAGGTGCCCACGAGATCTTAGACAGTTGATGAATCAAACCCCCACATCCAGAATGGCTTTACATCTCCAGGCTTAGTCTACATTCCAGGTGTTGTGCATTATGTTCATTTCCCCTCTGACCATACAAAGCAGGTGATGGGATAGGCCCATCTACAAGGTAAGGATTCTACATTCTATTATTGAATCTTCATCGTTTTTTAACGCCGACGCCACAAGTCTGAAAGCGTCTCTCCATCCTTCAAAGGGACCTTCAATGCCCAAAATTTGACTCTCCACCACTTCAAAACAGGTTCCTGAATCCTAAAGAGCTCCTACAAAAGGAGTCTGATGGCACCTTCATGTCGCTTCATCCCTCGGAGACGCCCCGCCCAGCCTCCCAACCCTCTGGAGACCGCCGCAAACACCCGATCGCCTGGGCGCCGTCCCAGCACCACGATCTCCCTGCGCCAGGAGCTGCGCGGCGTTGGGGCACCGCTCGGCCAGCGGCTGCAGGCTGCCAGGCAGCACAGGCCTCAGATCAGGTCGGATCTTTGGGAGCTGGAAGAGCGACACCTATTAGGGGTGTCTAAGAACTGGCCTCTTGGAGGTTGGGTGTTCCACCACAGGGTCCTGCTAGGGTAAGGCTATAGGGTCTAGAATCGACCAGGCACATCCAGAATCCACTGCGGGTGCTTCTTGCAAAAATCATTCGGGATGGCCCAACTCGCATCCACGCACTGGTTTTGGACTCAAAACCACAAATCTGAACTCCTGGTCACCGATATTTTTTCTCGACTTCGCGAACGGCTCACCTAGCTCTACTGGAAGAAACCTGCAGCTTCCGCCTTTTCGTGCGAAAAGGTGTCTTTGGATGGACCGTGTCGACCGATGCACGGTGAAAACAGCTTCCGCTCCCCAGGCGCCGGTATCGAACGCGAACCGGACCGTGTTTGCGATCGGAACGGTCCGTGGTTTGCTGCGTCATGTTTTGTCACAGACCCAGGATCCACCGGCATCCAAACAGAAATTCTTCCATCCAATCATTTCGACCTGGAAGAATGGAGGGGTCGATGCCTGGTGCCATTCTCCCTATCGTATACCAGCGAATCCATACGATGCTGCTTCACCTCGAGTCGGGACGGAGGGGGTCATGGGGCGGAGAATGATTGACGTCTAGTGACTGTTTAACATATGTTGCATGAATGTATACTGATTTTGTACTAAATCACTGTATATTTGCAAGTACTGTATACCTTTTTGTGTACATAAGTGTTGCCGATCGGCAGTCTTGGTCCTCAGAAGACACTGGCGATGTCTCCCAGCCCGCCTTTCCCACATGATCTCCTCCACGCGGCAGATGCGAGGCCCGTGCCACACCGTGTGATGCCACCTGCAGTGGTCGCGCAGAGCTTCCCACCATACAGAGGCTCAAGAGCCAAAAGCTCAGCCAATGATCGCAGCCGAGGCCTCGAGAACGGCAGCATGGGATGTCCAACTTGTATGCAAAAGAATGATGCTAACATTAATTCCAAGTGGTGATGTTTGTCGGTGACATTCCAGTGATGGGATGACCCGGTCTATTTGAATAGCTCTGTCCAGAAGGTCCCACAGCTGGTGCCACAGCTGGTCCCTTTAAGTCGCCCAGAACCGCGGCTTTTGGACGCTGCGCCATCCAACTCGTATATGTTTCGTGACTGACAGCGTCCGCCAATCGCGTCCGTCCGTCGCCTGCGTCCTGGCATTGGCTCAAGAGCTGCAGCACTTGGTCGATGGGGAAGTCTTCGCTGCTCGTGGCCGCTTGCAAAGGACTCACCTCTGCACGAAGGACTCCACTGTGACTTCGAGTTAGACCGTGTTGTTGAGACACTGACTGGAAAAGAACGGTCAAGTGTTCTGGAAAGGTATAAAGTTGATGAAAACTGGTGAAATACCGGAAAAAAAACAGCACAACAGCTGGAGAGTTCAGCATGGTCAGCTACTGTTGATTTCGATGTCATGATTTCCAGTGCCCACTCTTGGAGACTTAGGACGTGGCCAAAGCTCTCGCCTCCTGGATGGTCAGACGGCTGTGAAAGTGGGCTGGTCTGCTTTCATACCACATACATCCACATACCACAAAGACCCTAAATAAGTCAGTCAGTTTAAAGTCTAAATAATGACCAACCACCTTTAAATAGTCAATCTCCGGAGAGAAATGATGTTAACTCTATGCTTTTGCGCTCGTTTGCAGAACCGTCCTTCGCCCCTTCGATGTGTTGCGCCCTTCGACGTGGCTCACGCTCAGAAGAAAAAAACACGCCCTCGTTCGAGACCCACATGGAAGCTGCCCTTGTAGGTGGAACACCCGTCGGACCTGGCGTTTTTTTTGGCTTCCCGGGTTCCATGGAACCGTCGTGAGACCTGCGGTGTGAACGGTCGCTCCGAAAAAGAAAAGAAATGGGCTCGTCCTCTTCAAGGTCCTCCACCTGCTCGGGCCTCGGGGCCTGAAAAATGAGACACCACGGATGGTTCAAAAGGAGACACGAGACACCTGGGAGAGTGAGAGAGTAGCAGTGCCGTGGCGGGCGTATTCGTCTCAACATGAGGCTCACACCTCTTCAGGAGAAAAGAATCGGGTGGCTTTGAACCAGCAGTGTTCTTCAAGCGCGGGTGCTTCAATGTGCTGAATCCGGGTGCCCCTATCACATCCACGACCCCTGGGATGGGACGACCCCCAACCACCCAACCTGCATGGAACTCTAACTCTAACCAGTCAGATCCAACCGACCCGCGGCAAACTACGGCTGGTGCCTCACAGCGCACGCAGCGGCAGAGGAACTGCCAGCGCTCCAAGGTCCGCCGGCGCCAGGAGGTCGGAGCATGCAGGAAGTGGAGCATCGGAAGAATGTTTCGCTCGGGATAGCAAATGCACAGCTCCTGGCGGTGCCGGTGGTGGAACCGCGGGAGGAAGCGCCCGGAACCCCGCGCTTTCACGGAACGGTTCCAGAGCCCAGACATGGGCATGTGGTCGGCAGGGTGGAATGCAGGTCTCTGGGTGCGGGTTTAGGACTCGGAGAGGTGGATGGCCTGGGGTAGGTGGCCTGGCCATCGTGACTTGGAGCCTTTCTGGGTGGTCTGGCCATCTGAGAGATCCTGGTGTTACTGGCGGCAGGTCCCATAAAAACCACGTGAAAAAAGGCCTGATTTAGTTGAAAAATGAGATCCCGTTTCATCCACTGCGAGGAAAAAGATGGGACAGGCCAAAGTTCTTATTTATATACTTCTTACAGGTGTCCCGCCTAAAATCACGGGCCACAAGTCAATGAGTCCAGGAGTTTACTCGGAAGAGTCTCTCTTCTGGTGAACAGAGGAAAGACCTGATGTCTTTCAAAACGGAATTCTGCCATGACTTTCGGAAACTCCTGGTTCCACGTGAGCACTCAACTACCTCGACCCTTTTTGGTGCGGTTTTCCCTGCGCTTCGTCTCCCAAGCGAAGGCCTCTCCCTCTCGAATGTCCACGGCCGCCACCACCAGCAGCTGCTTTGGCCCGGCGGGGAGCAGCCGAACATTCGGCTCGCAGGAGTGATTCAGCCTCACTCGCTTCCCGCTTCGGGGTGTTCCAACGGGTGAGCTGCGGGCATGTGCGGTGGCCTGGGGGCGCATCTCATGCGCGGCATCTCCTTGAGGCTCTGCAACCCACAGTAAATCCTTTCTTGGGGCCATCTATTCTTCTTGTTGGTCTCTCTGTAATGAAGGCTTCCGGAGACCAATTTCGATGCGTGGCTGGGAGGAATTCGCAGGTTCCTGCGCCGGAGGGATTGATTCAACATGGGTTTCCGACCGCATGGTTTGTAAGAGGGCTTCACGACGTGGTCATTCAACTTACTCGCTTCTTCCTCTCTCAGGATTCACAGAAGTCCATCTCAGACTCTGAATCCTGCCTTCCGCATCCGCCCCCCCCTTCCACCAAAACGCCGACCAGAGTCTTCTCCCGCCTGCTGATGCGTTCGAAAACACATTGCTCCGGCCCTTGAGCGGTCACAAAGGAGAGTTTGTTGGCATCCCACACACGGAGGAGCTGCCAAAGCCAGCCAGCATCCTGGACGGCCTGCTCAGCCGTCCACACACCGCTGGCCACCTCCGGACGGGGCCTTTCTGAGTGAACCCGGGAGTTTCCCCAAGCTCTGAAAAAGAAGAAGAAGAAGAACCAAACTCTCGCTATAGTGGACACACTCCCCGGAAGAGATTTTCACACCTCCACTTCCCTCCCCCTCATGACACCACCCGCATTACACGAACGCCCGCTCACCATTTCCTCCAGCAGCCGCTCGCCCTCTTCGCCCAGCTGCTCGCTCAATGCTCCAGCACCATCCTCCGCGCGCGCGGGTGCGAGCCGCGTGTGGCAGTGCAGCGCCGCAAGCCGCCGCCGCTGGGAGCGGCTCAAGAGCCCCAAGGCCGCCACGGGGCTGGCGCCCGCCGCCAGCGACAGGATCGCCTCGCCCAGGGGCCACATGGGGAAACACCGGTGGTGTGGAGGAAGCATGGTTGCTTGCCTGAAGGAAGCATGGCGGTTGTCGTGGTTTCAAGGCGACACCCCAGGTCTGTGGTCAAGATCACACCACATAAACCAGGCAGCAGTGTTCAGCACAGATCATGATGCCTTGCTTTCTGGCGCCTACCCGGCGAAGGGGTCGACGTGTCTTGCTCAAGAGGCTCATGATTTTTGGACATCCGACGTCCGTCGAGCGAAAATCAAGAACTTGAATGGTGGCGTCGAAAAAGATCCACCAAGTCCGTGGCGCGGGTCTTCTTTCAACAGCGGAATAAGCAGAACACCACCTGCCATGCTTTAAGATATTTCAGTGTGATCCGCTCCCAGTTGTTCTTCACGTGAAATGGTTTTCCTCGGAAAGGGTACCACACCCTTGTACTAAGTCCCACCGACTTCAAACACTAACGCACAGAACAGCCAATGGGACCATGCCTGCGCTCCGTGGGCTGCGAGCCCCCGATGTCTACACACACACGTTCAAAAACAAGGAAGAACTGAACTTCCAGGAGACACGGGGGTAGTTTGTAGGCGCTAACAGAACAAGAGGCAGACACCCCTGCAACGTGCACCCCGGGCACCCCTGCAACCGTTTGGGCCCATTTGTTGGCCTTCTGAACACAAGTGGTTCATGGTGCCACAAAGACATACACGTGTCGTTTCTCCTCCTTCAGCGCAAAGGGAGACCTCGGGTGACCTCGCTGTGGCCGACATTTCGGGGTTTGGAGCCCAAAAGCTATCAGATCATTGGGTGAGCCTCGAGGCTTGGAAACATCTGAAACGGCCCCAAAACAGCCGCATTGGACAAATGAGACGTTCAAGTCCTGGCTCTGATCGCTTCCTGTTTGGACCCGCCCATCCCCGTGATCTTCGACGATGATTTCTGAGCCTCTTCGAGCAAAATCACGTCGCCCTGCTTGAATGAGCCTTTTGCCACAAGTGCCTGCACCAAAGACAACGCCAGAGCGGTGTCTGTCCAACGTTGAACCCACCTGTTTCACGGCCGCACCATGAAGTCAATGAATGAGCATAGCAAGGAAACCGCATCTCTACCAAGTGATGGTCACCTCCTTGAAGAAGGGGATGGTCACTCTTCCCTCCGTTGACCCAACAATCATCTCGGAGTCACTTAAGACTTAAGACTTAAGACAAGTCATTCTAGTTTTCTGAAACTTTCTGGCAAACGAGTTTCCGGAAATTCGGAAACTGTTATGTAAGTTATGAAGCATCAAAGCTGTTGCATAAACGTGCCAAAACAAGTTGCATAATTAGCCCAGCTTTGCAACCCAACAGCAGCAATTGTTAGCCCCAGCTTTCTGAGATTGTTTCGGGAGCTTCTCATGGCTCTCCAGTCGACGAACTTCTTTCGCATTTTTGCAGCCAGAACAAGATTTTCTTGTTCTTATATCCACATCGGAGAAAGATCATCGCCGGTCGGAAGATTTTGCGGCGGGGCAATTTCATGCTTCAAAAGATTTCTGTTTGAACAGTGAAATGCCACCAATATGTTGTTGAATAGACGATCCTAGAAAGAAGATGATCTGGTTGAAATAAAGGAAAGCTTTCTGATCTTTACGTAATGGAAAACACTCTTAGTTGTGAATCATAAGGGGGCATACAACGGGCAAGCCTTTTTCCTTGCTACTTGTATTGTGGGTTTTCTATATGACACAAAACAGAAGAAATGTTGGCCCCGGTGTCAAAACCATTGGCTTGAGCTGTTGCTCGCAAAGCTAGCCCAAGCGGGCTTCAAAAGCAAAGCTGCAGTTTCAATTAGCCACTGCTCACAAAGAAGCCTTGGTGTCAGCATTTGCTTAGAAAATGTAAAAGGAACATCATCTTAAAATTCGAATTCATTGAACGCCCTACCTCCCCACCCTCTAGCTATAAAGCTGTCGAACAATCTTTGGTAGTCGCAATATTCGCCAAGCGTATTTGATTGCTTTTTTTAGAAAAAACAAGCTGTCAATCTTTTAGAAGCAATTTAATTTGCGAAAACACATGCCGAAGGTTCTGGGAACCTGACCTTGGAAAGGTTTTAACTCGGACCTGAAACTTTGCAAGCTAACGAAACATACTGCCTATCAAAAATCATGACCAAGTGTGTCTGCATTCGACCATCTACAAAAGTTGCTTGTGAGAAGTAATCATGCCAGCAATACTGTCTATCACGACATGGAAAACGATGGTTTTCATCAAATTTCAACACAGCACCTGACACGAAGCACTGCCGACAGAATCCGCCCTCGCGCAAAAATTGAAAAGAAAACAATGAGGAACTTTGTTCTTCCAAAGATATGGAATACGCGCATATGTTTATGCGCATACGCGCATGCCACCATGACAGCATGCGCACGCGACCATGATAGCATGCCTACATATACGCATGTGCCAGCGTATCGGCGTAAAGCAAGCAAGATTGTCACAGAATAAGTCAGGGTGACTGAATATACTTCAAACATCTTCAAACAAAGCCGTGCACAGTGCTTCGCAAGTGTCGGAATCAACAAGACTGAATTCAGACAGGATATGTTCAAATTGCTAATTGTGGTCTGCGCATACGCATATGCGTAGATGCACATGCAACCATGACAGCATGAAGACGCCACTACGATAGCATGCCTACATCACCACGCATGTGCCTGCTTGTCGGGGTGAAACAAGCAAGATTGTTCGAGAACAAGTGAGCATGACTCAATACACTTCACACATGTTCAGCCAAATGCTTGCGCAGTGCTTCGCCAGTAGCAAACTTCCACAAGGCTGAAATCAAGGCAAGACATCTTTATATTGCAACAGAAGAGGATGATCGTTTTGAGGCCTGGATAGTGAGCTGTTTTGTTTGAAAGGCACAGCGTTTGGAGAGAGCTCGGCGATTCAAGGAAAGAGCATCCAACCAGAAATCGCTACGTCTCTGGACAAGCTGATGTTCAAACAGCTTCTCTCTTCCTTGAAAAAATCGACAAAAGCTGTGTCATGCCACAATTCAAAATCATTTTGTCGAAGCAGATAGACCATGCGAGATTGTAATAACTTGCAACCAACAAACGGAGGATGTTGGTTGTATCGAACAATATGCTATAAATTCTTTCACGTTGCAATGGTTCAGGGTAGCCGCTTGCAGATTGAACCTGAAAGGGACCCAAATATCATGATCTTAAAAACATATATTCTCCAGAAAAGGTATCTGCAGCACCTACGAGACCCTACCCTGAACCATGCTTGCAAAAACAAATGTTTGGATACAGCAACCCCTCGTGTTTGCTTCTTGTCCTTCGAATTATCCCGACCATTGACATGTCTGGGTAGTGTATGTATATGTGTTATGTTTTTTGTCGCTTCACGAATGCCTATACTGCTGCCAGGCCAGGCAACGCTACACAAGCATTGTTCTTCCACAGATTACGGCTGAACTGCTGGCGCATGGGTTGGGCAGGAAAACTACATAAAAAATTGCAAAACAGCATGTGAACATAAAGCAGCGCAAGGAGTGCGGTTCAACCACCCATACCTCACTCCTACCTACCCTCTTTGTGGATGGTTTTGTCTGTGACAATGAAGGCCGTTTTTTGGCTGTTGACAATTAGCCGCTTGCAGCCCGTCTCTCAGTTCATGCCAGGCTTGGGCCGCGCTTACGCCAGTAAGTGCTCCTACCCCCTATGACACGGAGTCCCGTAAACGCACTGGCCATCCAGGTCATGCAAAACCGCGTGGCGCAGCGACATCACCTTGCGAAAGCTCGAGTTGTTAGTTTCCTGCAGAAGCTCTACTAATAAACGTCTTTGTCGGGGAAAGGGAAGACCGTGCGATCTGGAAGGGTTTCGAATGTTTTTGCTCCGCGTTGCAGAAAAGATTGGACCAGCCAAAAATTCATGAGTGACGTTTGCAGCTCTTCCCAGAAAGCTCTTCCCAGGTGACCCCACTGGAAAACCCGAGGCAAAGCTGGACAGAGAAGACTGTCGACCGAAGGCAATGGACTCGCAAAATTGTCTGGCGGGAGGCAAACCCCGGGCGGTGGACCCCAGGCTAGCCCAGTCGGCACCCGCCGGAGGCATTTTTTTTCGAAAGGTATTCGAAAGGCGCGAAAGCACCGACCCGGAGGCGCGGGCGTCGACTGCGGGCGCGTCGAAGCGGGCGCGCGGCGTCGAGGGACCGGGGGGCAATCCCCAGGCGGGAGAAAGCGTTGCGCGGGGGACGACCAGGTGCAAAACAAAGAGGAAGCGCGGCTCGCCAAGGAGCGTGCCCGCAAGAAGGGCGCCTACGAGGGACGAGGAACAAAAAACAGGCCTGAAGACGTGGCAGGCCATGGTGAAGGCCGGGGCAAGCGCAACGGCGAGTTCGGCGCGGCCGTCGGCGCCGGCCACAGGCGCTGCAGGGCTTGGTCGGGGCCGCAAACGCTTGCGGCGCAAGGCACGCCCCACCCCACCTGAGACACGCGCGCCGATGCGATGCGCGAATTGCAGGAGGTCAAGGCGATGCACGCCATCGCGGACCGGCTGGCGTGGCTCTCGGGCACGCGCTGGGGTCGAAGTATCCGGGGGTAGATGGCTTTGCTCGGTGTTGGCTTTCCATGGCCCCATGCCGTGACCAAACGCGGGGGCGCGGTAAGACGTACCCGCCCCACGACAACCTTTCCGGGCGGGGGCGCGATCAGTCGCCCCTGCAAGAAACGTGTTATTTTTCCGACACACATGCGCAGGCTCTTTTTTTGCCTGCTGACAGGTTCCTCTCCAGTTGTGTCTTTTTTGTATCTGGCGAGTTATTCGAACGTGGCACGCCCCGACTCCGGAGCAGCCCAAAACTTCGAACGCTCTCTGGAGATGGCGCGGGCGCGCGGTAAGACGCACCCGCCCCACGACAACCTTTCCGGGCGGGGGGCAGTCAGGCGCGCCCGCAACGCAGCGGCGGACTTTCTTTTTTTTTCGGATAATGATTGGATCCCAGCGGATATGAGGAGGAGTTTTGATGAGTTTTGTTTGCCTTGGTTTGGAGCATGTTGCGCGCTGGGCTCACCCTCCAGAGGGCCCGGGCGCGGGAAGGGCCGCCCCCAGAGATTGTGGAGGCGGGAACGAGGAAGGTGGGGCAACCAAAATACCGGGCCCTGACAGGCCAAGAAGCTACGGCTGGCCGATGAGAGGAAGGCAGCCAAAGAAGCCGAGGCCGCCAAGAAGAAAGCCGAGGCCCGGGGCCGAGGTTCTTCCGGGTTAGCGCCCAAATAATCCCAAGCCCCGACCCAAAACATGGCCCCCCTGCGAAAAATAAGTCGGGTCATGTCGGAAACCACCAAATACAGTTTAGTGTCGTTTTAAAATTGCCGCCCGGACAGGCCGCTACTGCGCTACCCACATGGCCGAGCGTGATGGGGTTATTGGAAGGGTTCCAAAAACAACCGTAACTGTCCACCACTGCCCGCTCTGTCTATCCACCATGACATACAGTGCTCTGGCAAGGTCTGCATGATGGCTGCCATCAAACCCTATGTCATCGACCCATCCATTGGAAATCTTGGTAGTTGTCCTGCAACTTGGTGAGGATGGGCTGACATGGTACCAGGGGGTGCTGGTGCTTGGTGAGCTGGTTGCGGAGGGTGATCCATGCCTGCTCGATGTGGTCTCGATGGTCTGGTGGCCAGTGGGCAATCAGAGTGTGTATTGCTGGAGAACAACTTGGTCACCTGGGTCCGCAAATTTGTGGCTGACTTGGTCGTATATGACATCTTGAAGACCGCCCTGGTGTAGTCCGAGGTGGACTGCAAGATTGTCGAAGTGCCAGCCGGTATCTGGGAGCAAGGCCAGCCACAGAGCCCAACCACAGAGAGAGCCGAGCCACAGAGAACAAGGCCTGGACACAGAGCCCAGCCAGAGTTCGGGGCGCGGCCAGTGAGTGTGGCCGGTTCAGAGACGCCATGACGCGCCGCACAGAAGCGTCGACGGTGGGACGTGTCTGGCGGCGCGCAGCGACGCCGGGACGGCGGCGATCGGGTCGCCAAGAACTCAGGCGTCTGCAAGAGAGAGCCCGGCCAGCGTTGCCAGGGCCGGTAAGCGTAGAAGGAGTTCAAACGGCAGGCGGGACCGGTGGCTGCACAGGACCTCTACGAGGAGGACTGCGCGGCGCTGGCCGTGACACCGTCGGCGATCGGACGAAATTCGCCGCCCGCCAGGTGGACTCCGCGGATGATGTGGGACTGGCGGAGCAGCTCGCACTGGCGGAGGCGAGCGCATGTCGCAGAGATCCGAGCGACGAGAACGCACGCCCCACTTTGCTTGGGGCGCCTCCGCGCGTCCGGCTGTCGCTAGAGACCATGCCTATAGACCAAGTGGGGTCGGCTAGACCGTATACAAGAAGAAAGCCTAGCGCACAAGTGCAGTCATTTCTTGGGTCTTTCTTGGGCCGGCGTCGCTTGCAGGAACGGCGGTTGGCTGC